TTTTTATATTTACTAAAACTCAAGATATTCCATTTATTAATGATTTACTTGAAAATATAAAAAATTCTATATATTTATCTTCTTCATCATCATTAATTAAACCAATATCACCTTCATTAAATAAAAATTCTTCGATCCTTTATGGATTTCTCGATGCCAAATTTCTTTCATATTTATATAATTTTTCTACACAAGAATTATCGAGAAAAAAATCTATTGATATTGAAGGTATTCAATGTCCAATAGATAATCAATTCAATGATAAATTATCATTATTTCAATCATTTGAAATTCTTCTTCTACTTTGTTTTCAATCATCATATGATCAAGAATATTCATCGAATTATTTTATTGAAAAATATTTTTCAAATTATCAATTAAATCAAAATTTATTAATTCGTATTCTTGATGAAAAAATTTATTTATATCTTGAAGAACTTTCTCTACCTGATCCAGTATCATATGAATATATCAAAACAATATTTTCTTATATATGTTTAAATACTTATCAATATGAAATAAATCTACGTGAAAATGATTTAGAAAGTTTATTAAATTTATTTACAGAATCATTTCGTATTTATCGTCGTGATGTACGTTTATGTCAACAATTATTTGATTTTTTAAAATTATTTTTAAAAAAATTTTATGAAAAAAATATTCAGAAAAAATTTTTTCTGAATGAAAATTGGTTACATTTAAAAAAAATTTTTGATGCTTTTTGGCAAATGACAATTAATAAAAATATTCTATTAAACAATCATATAAGAAAATCAATTTTACAAATTAAACAAATTCTTATTCAAGATGATACTATTAGTTTTGATGATATACAAAATTTATTAAATGATTCATCATATTTTGTTCGATTAGAAACAAATAAACTTTGTTTAAATTTATTTTATGAAAATAATCGTTTAAAATCATCGAATGAACAAGAAATAATTTATCAAAATTTAATTGAAAAAAATTCTATTATGTTTTCTTATTTTACAACTATAAGTGAATATCTTTCATGTCAAATAGCTTTTTATTTAATTAAATACGGAATGAATAAACAATTATCGAAAAATCTTATTAAACATATTCTTCCAAAAAATGTTTCAATTCAAGCAGTTATTCAATATTATCATCAACATTTATCATATGAAATAAAAGATTTTCCATGGGATTTTTTAAATATTAATTCATCAAAAGAAGAATTTTATTCATTTATATTTTCAACATATTTTCTCTCGACTCTAAGCGATCGACAAGAACTTAAAGGAATTTTTTCTGATATTAAATCTTCATTAATTGAATATTTTCCACAAGTACAAGCTTATCTTTTACCGTTATTAGTTAAGAAAACAAAAGAGAACAATCATGCTGAAGAACATCGACAGTTAATTGAAAAAATACTGACAAAAACTGAGTATAATCGTTTAATGAAACAAAAATTAACCATGATTATTTTCAAACTTTTATTAACTTATTGGAATAACCAAGAAAATGAATTTTATGATCCATGGTCACCACAATTAATTTTACCAGCTTATCCTTGGTCAACATTGAGAAATACTTTTGATTATATTAAACAAATAATGAATGCGAAAACATTTGTTGAACTTTTAATAAAAACAGCGGTAAGAATAACCATCTTGAGGGTGTGGATTTGGTTGTAATAAGATACCCAGGGTGGCGCGACACCTCTCCAATCTTCGAAAGTTTCTATTTTTTGCTCAACAAAATCGAAAAATCTGCTTAGGGTTTTTATCAAAGATAATGTTACGCCCCCCCCCCAAGAATTTAAAAAACTTCGTTACATCCCCTAATGTTGGCTGACTCGTCCCACTCCTGCCCTCATTCTAATAATAGAATATTACAAAGTAAATGTTTGATTCTTGTAGGATATTAGTGAAATTCTTCTTTGTTTATCATCGAATCTTTTCTCAACAAATTCTCTTCATGAACAATTACGTTTACTTGATATATTTTCATTATTTGTAACTGATATACTCTTAAATTCATTGGATAATGATTATTTACATAGTATACTACGTGATTCAACTTATATATTATTACGATATATCGAAAAAACTTCTCAAATAAAATATGAAGAAATTTATCAACAAGAATTAAATGATAAAATTCTAAATATTATTTGTCAACTTCTTCATCAATTATGTATAAAAGGACTTGATTATGATGCATCAATTTATCTTAATCATATTCCAGATATTATTTCAATTCTTATTAATAACAATCAATATTTAACAAAAGAACGTATTCAAATAATTTTAATTCATATTTATCAATTTATTAAACATAATAACAATTCAATCTATATTTTAATATCATATGCAATAGAAAAATTGTAAATAAATCTTTTATATACTCTCTATTTTTATCTTATGTAATATATTCTTTTGTATAGAGGATATTTAACAAATGAAATCCAACGAAAACCTCAAACCATATCAACATCAGATTATTTTTCGTATCTTTCTGATCGTCGTTCATCATTACCAGTTGAATGGATATTAGAAATGTTTCATAATCATTTAGAAATTGAACGACAAAATTCTTCTTCATTATCTCTTAATATTGATCCTTCAATAATATCTCATGTGAAACAACAATTAATTGAATGTCTTTTACTAAAACATAATCATATTTTAGCTGGAAAATGTTTATCAAAATGTTCATTATTTCTATCAAATAATAATAATCAAGAGAATCTTGAAGAAGATCAATATGAACAAATTCCATTATGGATTATTGAAGATTTAATAATGTTTTATCTGATTGATAAAGATCAACATATCGTTGAATGTACACATTATACATTAAAAACTATTTTAAATCATTCAATTGGACAAGAATTCTATCAAAAATATTTAAAAAATAATTTAATACAAATTTATTCCAAACCATTTCTATCTCAAATAAATTCTTCAATAAAATTACAAACAAATTTTACTTCATCATCAAATCCATGGTTAATAACATCAATATCATCGTTTCAAACATGGTTTATTTCATTAATTAATTATCTTTTCAAACAAATTGAATGTTATTATATTGAACAAAAAGAAACTGGACATCCATATGCATATCTATTTCTTCAATTAAAATATTTAATACAATTAAAAATTGATTTAGGAAAAAAATTATTTCCATATTTAATTATTTGTTTATTATTACTTCCAGCAAAATTTAATCTTCGACAATTATTAACAAAAAATTTTAATTTTCTTATTGAACAATTACTTGAAAATAATTATTTAATTTCGAATGACATAGCAAAAATTCTTTTTCGTACGATAAATTATTTAAAACAATGTCCAATTGATACGATAAATAAAAGAAATGGAGGAAAATATTTATTTCTTAATTTTGATAATCATTTTTGGTTGGATATTGATTATTTTCAATTAGCTAAATGTGCATCGAAATATCAATGTTATCAGTCAGCTATTATGTATACAGATATTTGGACAACTAAACAAAGGTAGAGAATTTTGTTTGATTTTGAAATTATATTCTCTTTCTCGTAAAGAAGAGTCCAGTAAAAATTAATCGTTTACTTGCTTGTCTGTCTGCAGGGTCAAAAAAACATCGAAAACTGATTTTTCGAAAAAGACATTTCTAGAGGTTTTTTGATGCGGGAACTTCGAATCTGACGTCTGTTAGGTGACCATGGTAGGGGGGTGGATGAGGGAGGAGAAAGGTCAAAAGAACATCGAATACTGATTTTTCCAGTAAATATGAAGAGGATGCAACTCCACGAGAAAGAGCTGAGCGAGTCCTCGGACGAGCGTTACTTGTTTTTTGTTTATTTTAGATCAATTTTACCGGATAATGATTATTCAATACATTTATATCATTCTGATATTGATTTATTTTCTTCTTCATCAGATTTAGTTGATTTATTTGTTCGTATTCATTCAAATATAAATCAATCAGATGAATTCTATGGTCTTGATAAATATTTTCAAAATCGTCCAAATCTCTCTGGAGAATTTAATCAATTAAATAATAATTATTATGATTCATTATTTTATTATGATCAAGCAGCATCAACAATTGATTCATCAAAATTTATTCAAACATTACGTTTATGTGGATTTAATCATATACTTGAACAATATTTAAATCAAATGTCATCATTATCCGATCAAATCTTTTATCGTATTCAATTAACATCAATATTAACTGGACAAAATAAATTAACACAATGGAAAACATCGGATGAACAATCATCAAATCATATTCGACAAGATATTTTATCAATAATACAACGACAAACACATGTTTCATTATCATCAATACCACAATTAATTGATCATAATTTATGGTCAAATGTTTCTGATTTTCGTGAATGTTTCCTTATTAATATTATTGATGATATAACAACAAACTACCAAAATCCTCAAATATTATCAAAAATATGGTCAAATCAAATAAATAATTTAATTAAAGAAGATATTTTCGATCATAATGATGAAATTTTATTAACGCGTGTAGCAACAACACAAAAATTATTATTACATAATATTAATCACGATAAAGAAAATCAAGATATTAAACAAACACTTTTAGCAGATTTAATTACACAATTATGTCAAAATGCATTAGATTGTAAAAAACTTCAAGTAAATCATTTCAAATAGAATAGAGGGTGTGGGTTAGACATGTGCGGGATCGGGACCTAAAAAGGTTGGTCCCGCACATCTCTAACCCACACTGTGAGTATATGATGTTTAATATTAATGAGAATATTGTCTGATGTAGAGACTATTGAAAACTCCGATATGTGTCTATTTTTTTATGTTTTTTTAGTTATGTGATCGATATCTAAGTGATTTATCTCCATTAATTGATCGTTCATATTCGCATAAACTATCATTTCTTCGTGCTAAAGTTCTTGTTCTTCGTCAACAAGATACAGCTGGTGAATATCTTCGACAATTAATTGAATCTCCTTTACCAGATGCAATTCATATACGTTGTCGTTTATTATTATGTGAATGGCTTAATGAAACTCGATGTGAAACATCATCAACTATAAAACAACAACTTGATTTAATATCAAATTCTATAAAAAATCTTGATTTATCATCATTATCTCTTATATTTGAATCTTATCTAGCTATGGCACATTTTAGTGATAATGAATATCAACGTTTAAATCAATTACTTCATTCACCCATGTTTGAAAATAAAAATTCTTTAATTAAACGTAATCAAGCTGAATATGATAAACAAGAAAAATTAGATCCATTAGGACGTTATACAAAAGTATTAAAACGTAGTTTAGATATGGATAGAAAAGAAATCGAAGAACAAAAAAAACTTCAATATAGTTATTTAATTTCAACATTAAATAATTATTTAACATGTTTAAAATTTTATTCAAATTTATCAAGAAAACAAACAAAAAATTCGATGATAACAACAGATATTATTAAAAATAATTCTGTACCAGAAATAATGATTACATCAAAATGTCTTTCATATTGGTTTACAAATTTTAAAAATGATGAAGTTAATAAAACTTTGAAGAAAAATCTTTTAAATATTCCAACACATTTTTTCTTACCATTCGTTTATCAAATGGCAGCAAGAATGGCTTTAATTAATGATAAATTACCATTAGGATTTCATTCAATTCTTTTAGAATATTTATCAAGATGTATTATTGATCATCCACATCATGTTTTACCAGTTATTTTTGCTCTTGCTAATGCACATAAAGATGCACATATCAATCAACAACAAACAACTACAACAAATACTGGGAAAAAAAAACAATAGTGAAGTTATTCAATTGAATTATGAAATAAATAATGACGCTCGTTCACGTGCAGCTCAATATTTATTAGATCAATGTTCGAAAGTTAAACCACAACTTGTTGATCAAATGAGAAAATTAAATGATGCATATATTGAAGCAGCATATTGGGATGTAACACCAACAAAAACGGATCAACAAGGAAAAGATTCGAATGGAAAAAATCCAATATTTCCAAAACAATTACGCCTTATGCATATTAAAGATTTTCATGAAGTTGCTGTATCGACTATTACAATACCTGTAATGAAAACTTTTTTCAAATCAAAAATAAAATGAATTCATATTCTTTTTTTTAGGTCGCTAATGATGGTATATATAAAAATATTGAAACAATTAAAAATTTTCATTCAGAATACGCTATGGTTGGAGGTGTTAATGCACCTAAAAAACTTTTATGTTATAGTTCAACTGGTCGACAATTACCTCAATTACTTAAAGGAAAAGATGATTTAAGACAAGATGCAGTTATGCAACAATTATTTACAGTTGTCAATCGTTTATTAGATAAAGATGATCTTACATGTCATCGATCAATGAATATTCGAACATATAAAGTTGTTCCATTAACGTATGTTTATAAAATTTTATTAAAAATATGTTGATTTGCAAAATAATTTTCTTTATTTAATAGACAAAAAAGTGGTGTGCTGGAATGGTGTGAAGGTACAATAACATTTGGTGATTATTTAACAAAATCTGATGGTGCACATCCACGTTATCATCCAGACGATTGGACGGCGATGGATTGTCGTCGACATATTCATAAAGCTACAAATTCTGGTAAAGACGAACGTAAACGTGCATTTATTCATGCATGTTCAAAATTAAGACCAGTATTTCGATATTTCTTCTATGAATATTATAATCAACCAAATATATGGCATAGAAAAAAA